GTGTTGAGTAGCTGTGGACCTCTGGTGTTCAGACAGTGTTCTATGGCACCTGTACTCCTCACTGGTTCTATTCTGCATTTATTTCAGTGTCTTTTGCTCCAGTATGTTGTTATTCTACTGTACAAATTTGAGACCCGGCCCTCGAATATCCTCCAAGTATATATATTATTTGATACCTTTCTCATCTCCTTTCCAAAGAGTACATTTTGAGAGCTTTGAGACAATCCTGATAATTCTGACGTTTTATCGTGTCCTATGCGTGCTGTATATGTTCTCTGTATTCCCTCTAGTTCAGATATCTCTCCCGCTCTGAAGGAGAAGTGAGTACCGAGCAATACTCAAGACGGGACAGCACCAGTGGTTTAAATAGAATTAACATTGCTGTGGGGTCTCTGGGTTTGAACGGTCTCATAATTCATCTGATCATTTGCCTGATTTGCTCGGTTATGTTCACTAAATGTCAGGTCGTCAGACATCAAGGTGCAGGTGTACACGACTGACTGAGGTGCATCAATGTATTACATTATTAACATATTTACCATGCTCATTACGTAAATCATTATCAATAAAATATAAAAAACAAGTATCCAACTATATTTCTGAAAATATTTGAAATCTATAATTAATCGTATCAGAATTGTGGCTTTTTAGTGGAATCGAATATAAAATTTGAGTATAGTGTCGTAACTAGTATGTAGCACATGAATGAACTGGGGCACAAACGCCCCCAGACCTCACGCCCTGCAGAAGGCGTGACTGGGGGCAGAGCAGGTTGCACCACCTTGAGAGGTTACTTTCAGATGATTTCGCGGTTTAGCGTCTCCGCGGCCCGGTCTTCGACCAGGCCTCTTGGTTGCTGGACTGGTCAACCAGGATGTTGGACGCGGCTGCTCGCAGCCTGACGTATGAGTCACAGCCGTTGATGAGGTATAATTTCGAGGTACTTGTCCAGTTCTGTCTTGAACACTGTGAGGGGTCGGCCAGTTATGTGTAGTGGAAGCGTGTTGAACAGTCTCGGGCCTCTGATGTCGAGTTCTCTCTCAGAGTACCTGTTGCACCTCTGCTCTTCAACGGGGGTATTCTGTACATCCTGCCATTCGTCCTGGTCTCATGTGGTGTTATTTGTGTGTGCAGGTTTGGGACCAGCCCCTCTACTATTTTCCACTTGTAAATTATGTCTCTCTCCGACCTGCACTCCAGAGAATACAGATTTAGGCTCTTTAGTCGGCCCCAGTAGTTTAGATGTTTTACTGAGTGGATTCTAGCAGTAAAGGATCTCTGCACGCTCTCCAGGTCAGCAATTTCTCCAGCTTTGAAAGGGGCTGTCATTGTGCAGCAGTACTCCACTCTATAGAGCACAAGCGTCTTGAAGAGTATCATCATCGGTATAGCATCTCTAGTATGAAAAGTTCTTGTTATCCAACCTGTCATTTTTCTTGCAGTTTGCAGTTGACGACTTCTTTATTGTGTTCTTTAAAGGTAAGGTCTTCCGACATGAGTACACCCAGATCCTTTACATTGCCTTTTCGTTCTATGTTATAATTTGCCTGAGTTTTGTACCTGGTTTCTGCTTTTCTATTTATATTTTTTCCGTAGCGCATGAGCTGGAACTTTTCTTCCTTAAACACCATATTATTTTCTGTAGCCCATAGAAAGACCTGATTGACATCTGATTGCAGGTTTGCCGTGTCCTCTATGTTGTCTACTCATGAAAATCCTAGTGTCATCTGCCAAGGATGATACAGTACTATAGGTTGTGTCCTTGTCTATGTTCGGTATTAGGATGAGAAAAAGTACTGGAGCAAGCACAGTACCCTGGGGGACTGTACTGGAGCAAGCACAGTACCCTGGGGGACTGTACTGGAGCAAGCACAGTACCCTGGGGGACTGTACTGGAGCAAGCACAGTACCCTGGGGGACTGTACTGGAGCAAACACAGTACCCTGGGGGACTGTACTGGAGCAAACACAGTACCCTGGGGGACTGTACTGGAGCAAACACAGTACCCTGGGGGACTGTACTGGAGCAAGCACAGTACCCTGGGGGACTGTACTGGAGCAAGCACAGTACCCTGGGGGACTGTACTGGAGCAAGCACAGTACCCTGGGGGACTGTACTGGAGCAAGCACAGTACCCTGGGTGACTGAGCTCTTCACGGTTGATGGTCCGTATTTTATTTTGTTGACTATTGCACATTGGGTTCTGTTAGTAGAGGAGATTGTAGTGCACCTTCTCTTACATTACCTACATTAAAAGCTTCATCATCCGTCACCACATTCTATCTGCAAGTTTTGTCCCACCCACCCTGGGACGCCCCAGCCACCCTGTCCCACCCCACCCACCCTGGGACGTCTCACACCAGGGCTCCACATCTCTGGTAATGTGGACAACCTCCTCCAGCGACCACCCTTGGCCAAACTGTCGACTCTTGCCCGTCAGGGATGTCACCTTCCATCACGTAATCCCTAAGAAACATGCACCTTCAACGGCGATATTAATCCTCGAGTGTCTTACGAGCGCAGGAGCGAGCCACGCCAGCGAGGTGACTACTAAGTGAAAGCAATTAATCCAAGACTACTACACTTAAAACTGTCCATACGGGATACTATGGAAGCACTTATCATAAAGATGAAGAGCCAGCCTAGTGACTGTGGCTCCACCACTCTTCATCACCTCTAGTCTATTTCTTTACATCCTTCACTTTTAAGTTATATTATAGTGCATAATTGGCCCCATGTTGCAAGGTCCGAATAGGAACTATGCAACACAAAGTTGCCAGGAGCCTCACCACCCGGTGTCACAGACCTTGGCCGCTCTGCCAGTGAAGGCGCCGCGCACACTCACCAGTGCTACAACGCCTGCAAGCAACGTCTGCACGCAACGTCTGCAAGCAACGTCTGCAAGCAACGTCTGCAAGCAACGTCTGCACGCAACGCCTGCAAGCAACGTCTGCACGCAACGCCTGCAAGCAACGCCTGCACGCAACGTCTGCAAGCAACGTCTGCACGCAACGTCTGCACGCAACGTCTGCACGCAACGTCTGCACGCAACGCCTGCAAGCAACGTCTGCACGCAACGCCTGCACGCAACGCCGTAATATTTTCTATTGGGCAATGGTACGCACAGATATTTATAACCTGCTTGATACCTTCCACGACCTGACCTAAAACACTGTACCATTGTAAGACCCACATTAACCATCCACCAGTAAGGCCGCCCTACACCTTGAGGTTACCTTCAAGTTGGTCTGAAGGTTCAATGTCCCGCGGCCCAGTCTCTGGCCATGCATCCTGGTTGGCAGTCTGGTCAACCTGGCTGTTAGACGCAGCTCCTCGCACAGTCTGACAAATGAATATGTACCTGTACCTGGATTGTACCTGGATGGGGTTCTGGGAGTTCTTACATTCGCCAAGCCCAGGCCGGGGCCAGACTATAGACTCGTCAAAGCTTGGTCCAACAGGCTGTTGCTTGCACGATCACACACAAAAGTTTTTGAAAGAGTGATTAGGAATCGAATTTCTAGTTTTATGGAAAATAATGAACTACAAAAGGTCAGGGGGCCTGATGGCTGAGTGAACAGCTCTCAGGATTCGTAGTCCTAAGGTTCCGGGTTCGATACCCGGCGGAGGCGGAAACAAATGGGCAGTTTCTTTCATCTTGAGGCCCCTGCTCACCTAGCAGTAAATAGGTACCCGGGAGTTAGACAGCTGCTACGGGCTGCTTCCTGGGGCTGTGTAACAAAAAGGAGGCCTGGTGGAGGACCGGGCCGCGGGGACGCTAAGCCCCGTAATCAAGATAGCCTCAAGATAATGCACAGTCCTTGCACCGCTGCTATTTCTCATTATTATCTCGGATATAGACAAAAATACTAGTCACAGCTTCGGGTTATCCTTTGCAGATATAAAAATCAGCATGCAAATTTCCTCTGCAAAAGACACTGAACAACAGCAGGCAGATATTAATAAGGTCTTCGATAAGATGGATTATGAGACCGTTCAAACCCAGAGACCCCACAGCAATGTTAATACTATTTAGACCACTGGTGCTGTCCCGTCTGGAGTATTGCTGGGTACTCCTCCTTCAGAGCGGGAGAGATCTCTGAACTAGAGAGAATACAGAGAACATATACAGCACGCATAGGACACGATAAAATGTTTGAATTATTGGGACCGTCTCAAAGCTCTCAAAATGTACTCTTTGGAAAGGAGACGAGAAAGGTATGAAATAATATATACATGGAAGATATTAGATATTCGAGGGCCGGGTCTCAAATTTGTACAGTAGAATAACAACATACTGGAGCAAAAGACACTGAATTAAATGCAGAATAGAACCAGTGAGGAGTACAGGTGCCATAGAACACTGAACATCACAGGTCCACAGCTGTTCAACACCCTCCCAGCAAGCATTAGAAATATTACTAGAACAAAGGTTGATGTACTCAAGAGGCACTTGGATAAGTTGTTGCAAGAAGTGCCGGACCAACCAGACTGTAGTGGGTATGTGGTCCTACAGAGCCTCCTGCTCTGAAGGGGGGAAGCGAGTACCGACCAGCACTCAAGACAGGTCAATTGAAATTGAAATAAGTTTATTGAGGTAAAATACACACAAAGGGATGAGGTAGCTCAAGCTATTCTCACCCCGTTAGACAGGTCAACACAAGTGATTTGAATAGTACAACCATTGTGATGGACACCTCCCCCCCCCCCACAAACAACAGCGCCAGAGGATACCCCACAAACAAGCGGTGGAGGGACGCCTTCACGTCAACACCCCCCCCCCCACTAAGCCAGTGGGTGATGGATGACAAACATCCGCAGTGATCTACGCCCCACACCACTGGTGGCCTACATACAGAGTGGGTAACACACTAGGGAAAAGTGTACACGATGCTGTCACATGAAGGTTGGTAGTGGGGCGGCACACATGACTGGCGCTGCCAGGCCTACACCTGGCACTTAAGTCTGCCCCTAAGTGTCAGTCTGGCTCGGCACACACACCTCTATCCCAAGTCCGGCTTGAAGTGAAGGGCGCTCGTTACCTCCCTTCACGACACTACCGCTCAGCTCGCCATACTCACCACCTGAAAAAAAGAGAAACGAAAATTATTACATGAATTTTGTGAGTTACAGATGTAACATTAACATGGTGAGAGATCTTTTACTGCTAGAATCCACTCACTCAAACATCTAAACTACTGGGACTGACGAAAATACCTCAATCTCTTTGCTCTTGAGCGCAGGCGGGAGAGATGCATAATAATTTGCATTGCACATCGCGTTTTGACGTAACTTTACCACAGCCCATAATCGGGCTGTGGTGGGTATGTGGGCCTGCGGGCCACTGCAAGCAACAGCCTGATGAACCAAACTCACAAGTCAAGCCTGGCCTCGGGTCGGGCTTAGTGAGTAGCAGAACTCCCAGAACCCCATCAACCCCAGGTATTCACCAGATATCCAGTTATGCCCCTTGTGTATAGCGGGAGTGTTGAAAAGTCTTGGTGCCCCTGATAGTTGTACCAGAGTACAGGTTCCTGAATCTATTGGGCTCTATCGTATCTGCATTTGAAACTGTATGGAGTCTGCTTCCAGCAGAGTTGTTAACAAATGGAAAGCTGATGTGGTCTACCCCTACCCACAAGGCAGGTATGTTGACCACATCACTGCCTGTGATGTGGAAAGATAGAGAAACAAGGTCAAATGGAGGAGTAGGTCTGTGTATTAAAGAGGACCTGAGTATGCAGAGCTACTAAACTCAACTAATGAGGTGGTAGAAGTACTTGGAATTAAGGTGGAAAAAATAAACCTATTTATTATTCTAATATATAAACAAACCAGATACAACGGTTGAGGAATTCACAGAGCAGATGCACAAAATATAGAACACCCTTGATAACCTAGCGAACCCAGCTCCAGATATTATCTTCCTTAGAGATTTCAATGTACCAAGTCTAAGATGGAGAACGGCAAACACAAATATCATAGCAGGGAACGACCCGGGAAATAACCAACCACAGGTCAGAGAACTTTTGAGATTCTGTGACAAATTCTCGCTCAGTTAACAGATTACAGAAACAACTAAGAACGAAAACACACTAGACTTGTTATTCACGAACAATGATGAACTAATCAGACACATTACAATCTCAGATACCACATACTCAGGCCACAAGCTCATTGAAGTGCGAACTAGCATAAATAACGGTAGTAGGTCTAAGAGACCCAACAAGCGAGAATGAGTATTCAATCAATTCAATTTCAACAATAAGAGGATCGACTGGGAAAAAATAAATGTAGACCTTGCAACCATTCAACAGGAGACGGTCTTAAGCGACAAAACTCCCACACAGGGAATAGCTCAACTGACAGCTGAAGCTTACAAGGTCTGCTTGAAGTACGTGCCTGTGAGGAGGGGCAGAAAGAGGACCACTCTAGAAAGAGAACGCAGACGACTGTACAGGAGAAGGAAAAAAATAACGGAAATGCTTCGGCAGACACAACTATCACAAGAAAGGAAAATAAACCTAAACAGGGAGATCGAAGATATAGAACAAACGTTGAAGCGATCATACGAGGCTGACGAAATGGAACTGAAACAGAAATAAAGAAGATAAATACAAGAGATAAAGAAAAACTAAATATTTTTTTCACATACGCAAAATCAAAAACCTCGACTAGTATTGGACTTGTAATTATAACTGAAGGTACGTACACAGAGGACAACAAGGAAATTCGTAAAATTCTAAGAAGCCAGTATGAGGCTATGTTTAGCACACCAATACACAACATGAAAGTTGATGACCCAGACAGCTTCTTTATGAATGACATTCAAGCTGCAAATAATAAAACGGATATTAACACGAACTCGGAAGATTTTGAAAGAGAAATTGACAACATGCCCATGCACTCAGCTCCTGGGCCGGACTCGTGCAATTCAATATTCATAAAGAAATGCAAAGTACCGGTAGCGAGAGCACTCAGCGTAATATGGAGAAAGAGCCTGGATACAGGGGGAGATATCAGCTGCACTTAAATCTGCAGATATAGCTCTGCTGCACAAGGGGGGAGTAAAACCTTGGCAAAAATTATAGACCAGTTGCACTAACATCACACATAATAAAAGTGTTTGAAAGAGTGATTAGGAATCAAATTTCTAGTTTTATGGAAAATATTGAGCTACACAACCCAGGACAACATGGATTCAGAGCGGGAAGATCCTGTCTGTCACAGTTACTCAACCACTATGACAAAATCACAGAAGCTCTAGAAGAAAAGCAAAATGCAGATGTTGTATACACAGACTTTGCAAAGGCGTTCGACAAATGTGACCATGGGGTGATACCTACCTTGAGGTGCTTCCGGGGCTTAGTGTCCCCGCGGCCCGGTCGTCGACCAGGCCTCCAGATAGCTCACAAAATGAGGTCAATGGAAATAGCTGGTAAAGTAGGATGCTGGATACTCAATTTCCTGTCGAACAGAACACAAAGAGTAACAGTCAATCAGATAAAACCAAGTCCGAGCGCAGTTAAAAGCTCTGTACCTCAAGGTACAGTCCTTGCACCGCTACTGTTCCTTATTCTCATATCAGATATAGACAAAAATACAAGTCACAGCTTCGTGTCACCTTTTGCAGATGATACAAAAATCAGCATGAAAATTACCTCTGCTGAAGACATTGAAAAATTACAAGCAGATATCAACTGTTTTCGATTAGGCAGTAGAAAATAACATGAAGTTTAACAGTGACAATTTCCAGGTACTCAGGTACGCCAAAAATGAGGACCTGAAGTTCATACAGGGCACAAAACACAATCGAATCTGCCCATAGTAGGAAAACAGCATGTCAAGGATTTGGGAATAATGATGTCCGACGATCTAACGTTTAGGGAGCATAACCAAGCAAATATTGCGTCAGCCAGAAAAATGATAGGATGGATTAAAAGAACTTTAAAATCCAGGGATCCCATCACAATGGTTGTACTCTTCAAATCACTTGTGCTGTGCCGTCTTGAGTACTGCTCAGTACTCACTTCCCCCCCTTTCAGAGCAGTAGAGATTGCTGAAATACAGGAAATACAGAAAACATATACGGCACGCATAGACGCAATAAAGCACCAAAATTATTAGGATCGTCTCAAAGCTCTCCAAATGTACTCACTAGAAAGGAGACGAGAGATACCAAATAATATACACATGGAAAATACTGGAAGGCCAGGTCCCAAAATTACACAGTAAAATAACAACGTACTAGAGTGAACGATATGGAAGAAAATGCAGAATAGAACCGGTGAAGAGCAGAGGTGACATAGGCACAATCAGAGAACACTGTATAAACATCAGAGGTCCACGGTTGTTAAACATCTTCCCAGCGAGCATAAGAAATATTGCCGGAACAACTGTGGACATCTTCAAGAGGAAACTAGACAATTTCCTCCAAGGAGTGCCTGACCAACCGGGCTGTGGTGGGTATGTGGGCCCGCGGGCCGCTCCAAGCAACAGCCTGGTGGACCAAACTCTCACAAGTCAACCTCTGGCCGGGTTTGGGGAGTAGAACAACTCCCAGAACCCCATCAACCAAGTGCCAGTGTCTCGCCCACACTTGTCATGGCGGCCCAGGAGACCTCAACACCGGTGCCCACACCTGTCATGGTCCCCAGAAGACCCCAACACTGGTGCCAACACGTGCCGTGGTCGCCCAGGAGACCGCGAGACAATATGGTCGCTAGGTACACCTCGGAGGTGACCATTGAGCTGCTAGGATCTTCGACTTTCATGTTCAATGGAGCGTTAAACATAATACTGTTCTTTTACCATTTCACTAATTTCTCCATCATCCTTTGCTTGCAGCACTTCACTGGGAGAGAATTCTACCAACATCAAAGGCCCCAAGACTTTTCAACATTCCCGCTACACATAGCTGGCCGAACTCTCTCACTGGATTCAAACGAGAACTTGATAAACACCTCCTATGAATACCCGATCAACCTGGCCGAGTCATATGACAGGCTGCCAGGAGCCCCGTCTAACAGCCTTGTTGACCAGACTATCAACCAGGAGGGGTGGTCAGAGACCGGGCCTTTCCGCCAGATGTCGAGGGCACTGATCCTCGGAATTTCCACAAGGTAAGGCTGGAATGTTTGTGTCGTCCTAAGAAATTCAGTTACTATTTTCCTTCTGCGTTTCATTCCTAAGTTATTCCTCTTGTTGATCTACTGGAAAGGAATATATTTCAAGCATATATTTCAAGCCTGGTGGACCAAGCTCTCACAAGTCAAGCCTGGCCTCGGGCCGGGCTTGGGGAGTAGAAGAACTCCCAGAACCCCATCAAGCAGATAAGCAGATTTTGTAGAATTCTGCCATCAATTGTTCCATTTCTTCCAATTAATGTTGCTTTGAACTTCTGTGAATTTGCGAAATGTGTACGAAATTACTTAAGACTAATCCGTTTCATCATTATTCGTCAAGATCATACCAAAATAATTTTCGTTTCCAGTTGTCTATCATTTGAGGGGAAACTTGCGACATAATAACTGGATTACTGGCATGTGATTGGTTATTTCCAGCATGATTTCCTGCCATAAAGCACCGGGGACACTGACTGGACAGCATGGGGACAGGAAAGCAACACATGCTTGGACAAAGCTGGAACATTTACTGTACTCACTAACTTGAGCTTGCGGGGTGGAGCTTCGACTCTTTGGTCCCGCCTCTCAACTGTTAATCAACTGGTGTACCGATTCCTGAACCTATTGGGTTCTAACAAACATTGTTTATTTGCCGTGTCCTCTATATTGTCTACTCTCATAAAAATCCTAGTGTTATCTGCAAAGGATGATACAGTGCTATAGATTGTGTCCTTGTCTATGTCCGATATTAGGAAGAGAAAAAGTACTGGAGCAAGCACAGTACCCTGGGGGACTGAGCTCTTCACGGTTGATGGACCGGATTTTATTTGATATACTATTACACACTGGGGTCTGTTAGTTAGGAAATTGTAGATCTACCTATTTTTTCCGGCAATTCCTTTTGAACAGGTATTCTCCCTTTTGAACGCATTGTGTTCAAAACACCACCATGGTCAACT